GCTGGTACATTAGTATTGGAAGCCCACTGCTCCACATCCATGGCTGAGCGATCTCATTGTGAGGGATTCCTCCTGTTGCCTGTGTTTTTCTGAACTCCCGCATGCATGTAGCAATTCCTCTCCCAAGAGGGGCCCCGAGAATCAAGCGCAAGACCGATGCACCAGAGTCGCGATAAAAAGCTTCACCTGTTCCTCCAACTATCAAACACCCCAACCCCTATCGCCGATGTTCTGAAGCTACAACACAATGTGGTACTCATGTGAGGAGGGGGCGGGTCGTGCAGGCAAGTCGCTGGCTAAAAGGCTCAAGCCCAGGACGTAGTACGTGCAATCTCCTCAGGAAAAGGTTTCTCATGCAACCCCAAAAACTTGATCGTCTGCATAGAATAGGCTGCTAACATTCCGACAGATCATAGAAAAGCCTCTGGCTCACCCGCGACCGCTCTTCCATGCCAAGTGGCTGAAAAGTGGCCACCAAGTAAGCTTGATGGGATCCTTTGCCACATAGCCTGAGTGAGACCGTCTGGGGTCTTCCAGAATAGGGTGGGTGTGCTTCCGGATGCCCGGGGAAATTAGAGCTTTTATGGAGCGTGTTTGGAGAAACACGCATCTACCATTCACTTGCAATGCCAAGCACAAGTCCTTGCCACCAAGACACCACAAAGGCCTATGACAAACAGCACGTTGAAAACTGCAGACCCAATAATTGTCCCGAAGCCAACGTCATTGTTGGCCTGAGTCCGTGGAAACTGCACATGCAACGTCTGCGTACAGCAGGCATCCAACTTTATGTTACGCCAGTAGGGGTTAACGGAAAAGACCGTGGAAACTACGGTGTTATTCCCCGCGTGCCACCCCAAGTCGTGTTGACCATGGTACAGTAATGCTCTTACAAGCACCCCCGTGCACAAGCTAAATGACCTGGTCTTGAATATGTTCATCCCCATGAAACCGGTTAAGAACCTACTCATAACTTACATGTACCTCATAAGGTCTCACGAAACATCTCAAAAACTAGGCAGGCCCAACCCTGTTTTTCTCAAAGTATCTTACCCGAGGGACCCTAGGGACATATTTTGGGATGAATAGAAGATAATTTTAAGACGTGTTAACAAATCCCTAGACCCTAAACCGCCAACCCCAACCATTCTGCTAAGGGTCAATTGTTGCGCCCACCAGAGACGTGAAAAGTTCGGGAGCTGAGCCTCCCGCCTGGGATTGAGGCATTTCATATTTGGAGGGTCTTATGTGGGTCTTAGTAGACATGGAAAAGGAAATGGAAGCTACTATCGTTATACTATGATTTAGGGGTATGTAATGGGGGCCTTAGAAATAGTCATGGAAAAGGAGAGGGAAACTACGACGCTAGTATTTAGGGTTTAGGGTTGGAGGTTCAAGGAGACTTAGTAAGTAGGTAGATAATGGGGATAATTGAGGCTGTTGCATGGCTTATAGGGGTTCTTCACCTACTTACTACGTCCCCCTGACCCTCCAAGTGCCGATTGGGCTTAGGCTTCAATGGTTTGGGTTTTGGGTTTTGGAAAGGCTCAACGTGATGTGTAGGGATCACAGAGATCATTGAGATCATGGAAAAAACTTCAGCGGCCCCAACTAAGACAAGCAAAAAATTGCTTTTGCCCCCTCCCCAAAGTGTGCGCGCAAACTCAAATCGTGCTGCCCAATTGCAGGAGTCCAAATGTCCTCCATTGCCCCACACGTATTAGCCCCCCCCTGGCTCTTCTCAAAATGCGGATAGGGTTCTGCCATGAAGGTTGCCCCGGCCACGTCTGGCTTGATCTGCCACTTCTCAACCATAACCTGCTCAGAACGGCTCAGTGTTCACTGCTGGGACGCAACTCAACGAACTTTGCCTCGAGAGCACCCGTAAAGTACACCTGGGCTTTCACATGTTTTTCCGTGCTAAGGGACCACAGAAGGTGACCCAGTGCAGCCGTGTCTCATCGCAAACTGTATTCAGGCCCAAAAGCATGTAGCTGATGCCTATCACCTCAGATTGCCAACTCATGTGTGCCGCAGAAATTTTGGAGGTGCTTGCAAGCTAGGTGCCCTTCTATGCCCGGAATGGAAGGAGCATTCACAGGGGTCGCTGTCAAAGAAGAACCGATCATTTTGGGGAACCCCGTCTGGGCCGCGCACATGCAGAAAAACTAGCCATCTGTGCGGATCCTCGCCGTACGGCTGTGTCAACACCAAGTCCGGTGGATACCTGGGTAGGTTCAGCATTTCTCGCGAAAGTAGTCGTAACATCCCGTCGACAACCTCCTTCCGGCCTGAGCCCTGGCAGTCCTAGGTGCTAGATTGCCCATGGGAACAGTCCCTCATAAGAGCGAATGGAATGTTCTTAGGCGGGCGATTGTGGTCGCTCGATGATATTTCCAGTGTCACATTGTTGATGAACTACCTAAACCTCCAATTGTAGGCAAAAGCCCCAGGCCCTATAGGTAAAACAATTGCCCAAAACCCCGTTAAACACGTCCCATTCCCCAAGGGTCCAAGGACCCAAAGAATAGGGTTTTAGGGCCCAAATACCATCAATATTATAGTATTTGGGCCTTCAAGCCCTATTACCCTTAGGCATTAACACTTCGAGTTGGTCAAGGCATGTCAAGGCACAAAGACTGCAGGCGACGGCTAGGAATCGCTTGCCGTGTGTCAGCCGCTGGACCTTGCTGTCTGCGGGTTGCGGGATACTATAGGGATTATATAAGGATACTATAGGGATTATATAGGGATACTAAAGGGATTATATAGGGATTATATGAGGATTATATAGGGAGTATATAGGGAGTATATAGGGATTATATAAGGTTTATATAGGGATTATATAGGGATTATATAGGGAGTATATAGGGACACTATAGGGAGTATATAGGGATTGTATAGGGATTATATAGGAATTATACAAGGATTATGTTGGGATTATATAGGGAGTATACAGGGAGTATATAGGGATTATATGGGGAATATATAGGCATTATATAGGTAGTATATAGGGGTATATAGGGATTTTACAGGGGGTTTCTTGGGGTTCTATAGGGATAATGCAAAATAAAATGGAACATGCTATAGGATACTGCAGCTTGAATGGTGAAGGGGATGAGCAACGTGACAAGCATGTGAGAACACAAGCACACCACCAATAGTTATCCGAACAGCAACCACTGGTGAGAAGGACACTGATGGTGCTGCATCAAATGGTCCCGAGAGCCTAGAGCTTCCGCACCAAGGAAAACTTAACAGACTCAGAGGGCTGCTGAAAGCAATCTCAGCAAGTCCCCCTGCAAGTGCCCGACTGAAGGTCCACTGGTCATGCCAAATGACCTCCAGTGAAAAAGCCGAATACAAGCATGTCCAGGTATTGCAGCTATAGTTGTGCGTCCGAGAACAATGGAAACTTCGGTGGCGACTGCTAGGCATACAGGCTGAGACTCCAACAATGCAGGACAAGCATGCCAATGCAAGCCTCGGATTTCCACAGGTTGTTCCACAAACTGAACACGGAACCTCCATTGGCCGGGTCGGAGATACCTCCTACTCCCCTTTCCCTAATCTGAAACACTTCCCAGCCCTAACGTTAAATATTACCCCGGAAAAAACTTACATCTTATTTTGGGGGACAATTTCATGTATTAAGGGCTAAGATCGCAGCCTTCCGAGGACCGCGGAGAGCGCATAGGGTCTGAATGCTAGCCAATCCGTTTTGCGGCGATACTGTCTGCCCCGTGAGTAACCCCTGGCCCTCATACTAATGAATATCCCAATACAGTACAATACCATCATCGTAAACATGCTGGAGCGAATATTCATTGCGATGCAATGTTGTTTTAATTGGGGGGATTGCAGCCAAGCAACGCTGAAGTTGCGAAGGATGCTCTTCTCAGTAGCCTTAGCCAACGTTCACGGCATGCAAGGGACAAACACAAAAGCCTACTTTCTTGCTGTCATAAAATAGCAGTAGTGTTTCGCGCTGAAACACCTCAGACCGGAGCATCACGCACACTACGGTCATATAACCCTAAATAGTAGTTTCCATTTTCTATTCCGTTATCCCGGTTATCCCTATTCTCCCCCATAGTACTATATTATCCCTATATTAATTGCACCATGATTTTTCAAATGCGATCAGATCTGGGGGTTGCGCGGGCTCTTTGCCCCCACCGCGCGGCAAAGGGCCATGGTGCCATTTGACGGAGAACCGGTGGCTGTCTGTGGGCAAAGATCCCAAGGCCCGAGGCTAGCTGGCTTAAGTGCTACCCCAAGGTGGGCTTTCATAAGCAGTGATGCAAGGTCTGCTCATGCTAGAGTTGCGTGTGTTTTGAATGCTGGGTGCAAACCAGGGCAGTGAGCAGTTTTAGTAATAGTACATGTCTGGCCCCAAGTTAAGGAGCCACCCTACTACCTGAGCAGTGGCTTGACTGCAAGGCAGATGCACGTTGACGAGGTGTGAGCCAAGTTCAAGCGACGTACTAACTCACTAGCTCACCCTGACTGCGGTGTTCTCACTTGAAAGTACACGGGCTGGATCCCAATCACACAGCGTCAGGGGCACTTCCGCGTTCCAGCCTTTTGAGCTTTGCTTCCCTGGGCTGGTTCCCGCATTGTATACTGATGATACTGGACAACACGTGACCCACGGATGAATTGCAAAGAAGCTGCCATTGCGTCACATCCAGCTCCACACCGCTTTGCCTCCCTTCCAGGTGGGAGCGCATTTCCTTGTCACAAAGTTCAGCAGCAGGCTCTTAATCCGACCAAGCACCTTGCGGGCCTGTGTGTGCAAGTCTGCCTTCCTAGATGACATAGTTGCAGCCAGGAGTCATCCATCCATGTAAGCTTCCAACCATTTTTCTTGCAAAGGCTTTCGACCCAGTCAGCGTTCTTCCTGTTTAGAGACACACTGCGGTTCATAGGGGGGGCCACATGCACCCCGCAAAAGCATTTACAGCAAGTCCCAAACTTGGCACCCTCATCAGAGCTGCCTGTGCCGCTCGTTAGCCACAAGGCGATCCACATGCTTTCGCAGGTCGATCTCGCCGTGAAGCTGTGCTTCCTGCGCAGAAGCCCCTGATGAGGACCCTAAAGCCTAACCCCTAAATCGTAGTTTCCATGTATCCCTAATTTTGGGACTCCCCCATATGACCCTAAACCCTATCATGACCTGTGACCATCCTCTCAGTCTCAGGAGCTGTGGATGACTACGAGGCAAGAAGTCCTTATACATGCCCCACTTCTCCACAACCTTCTCGGAGTCACCAACCTTTTCATCACCTGGCCACACTGCTGCCTACCTTCCGTGGTGGCGCATTGCCCCCCGATTTACGGAAGGCTATCAGATCCAGTCTTGTTCAAGAGGGCAAAAACTGTTCAAAGCAGCTATGCGCCCCTCATATGGCAAGGGCATTGGGCCAGCTGCCTTTCTCCGCCACACGAATTGTCTCTTTCAACTCCTGGCCCATGGGCGTGTCCCCTTGAACTGACAAAGCAGACAGCATCTCCGAAAGCATCAGTCGTCTGGCCTTGTCGCTGTACCTCAGCGTTGCTGGGACACATCCCAAAAATCAGGCAACTGCAAAGATGTGGATGGCTTTTTTGGAGCCCCTCACACCCTTGAAGCCGGGAAAGAGCGCATCGCCCAACGGACATGCCGGTCAGGTATTGATGCTGAGGAATCATGTGGAACAGACACCGTGTTGTGTACCATGCCCATTAGGTCTAAGACTTCTCCTGCTGGAGAATTAGGGGTCTATAGGGATGAATAGGGTTTAGGACTTTGTAGACTTTCGGGCCGGCTTCTCAACTTGCCGCGTGCGTGGATGTTGCAGGAAATCGCTCAACAGCTGAGATCATGGCTCCAAGAGCACATGCGCATAGTAGTCCAGGACCGCAAGCCTGGCAAAAATCAGGCTTAAGCTGCCATGACCAACTGCAGCACAAATGGCCTGCGTGCCGGCAGGTTTGCAGAATCTTGCGGGGAAAGGGTGCAGCGCAAGCGAACATCCTTCAAAACAATGTAGGAGTCACCTTGGAAGGTCGCCGGCAACCAAACAAGGGTAGGAGACCGTGATTTTTACTGGAAACTCTGCAGGCAAGAGACCGTACTGGCGGGCTCCCACGACACCTCTTGGATCGTTCCAGATGTTCTGCACGCCATACTTGGGCCTCTCGACAGGCTTGGCTCCATCGTAGGCCGTACCAAAAAGACCTGGGCCACGGAAGGCTTTGCCACATGGTCAAAACGACGAAGAACACCTTTGTGAGATGGAGTCTTGTCAAAACCAGGCAAAACCTCTAAGCACTGCACCTCGTTCCCACTTTTCGCGAGCTGAGGTTTTCAATAACCCTCCTGACGTGTTGGTCTCGAACTGGTTTCGGTAATGGGTGTCCTTCAGGAAGAAGTGGCCCACCTGCATGTTAAGAGTTCACTCTCATCTGCTGCCGACACTTTCTGGTAATGCTCATGGCACTCATGGTTCCTCCCGCTGCTACAGTGTTAGCTTTTTACTTTGCTGCATTCATTGTACTGTCATAACCATGGATTCCTGTTCTCTCAGCGAGAGCATGCTCCTGCTGTAATGAACTGTTGCAGTACTTCTCCATGGTTTGGGAAGGAACTGCACTGCTGCAGCGCCCGCCTTATCCAGGTTGAGGTGCACAATCAAAGGCGCAAGCTCCCGAATCCAGGAGAGCACCATCCACAGGTCGGTGTCCGTGTATCCCAACTTCTGCACTCCTAAGCTTAAGCTGTCAGAGTTGTGGCTGCTTAGCTACAAAAATGTTTCCCTACATGCCGTCCTCGCTGGAATGTATCCCTGTATTCTCTCCCCTTAATAAGCAACATATCTGAAGTCCATTCCCAACTGAACCCCACCTGCCCCCATGTTGAATCTACTCCTTGATACATAATGATGCTGTATCGGGGGTGGGGGGGCGGGGGTTCTAGAGGATTAAGCTTGGGTAAGCCAAACCCGAAACCCTAAACCCTAGACCCTAAACCCTAAACCCCAAACCCTAAACCCTTTTGCAACAGGCTTCAGATCCGCCCGGTGGCGACTAAACCCTAAACCCTAAACCCTGAACCCTAAACCCAAGGTCAAATTCAGGACTTTCCAAGCAAAGCTGCTCCGCTGCAGCTCGGGCAGTGCACGGTCATGGTTTTCTTGGGCAAGGGCTCGGATGTGACGAATTGCCGTCTGCAAAGGGGTTTAGGGTTTAGAGTTTAGGGTGGATAATAATAGTAATAATATAGTAATAATACACGATTGTAGTAGTAATCTAGAAATATAGTAATAATTCAGGGGTTTAGGGCTTGGGGAGGGTTAGGGGGCTAAAAGGTGGAAGGAGGGGGAAGGCTCCCCCTGAGATCAAAGCTCCACAAATGCCAATCCTAACTGAGGGTTTAGTCTAAACTCCTTAAAGGGGGTTATATAAGGGATTATATAGGGAACTACTGTAGGGAATATTAAAAAGGGGGTTATATAAGGGATTATAGAGGGAACTACTATAGGGAATATTAAGGGAGATACTAGGAGTTTAGACAATGGCTCAACTGGTGCTACTGGTCATTGCCGGACAGCGGAGCCTGTTGGCAAGGGCGCAACGACGCCGCGCTATCCTTGGTCAGAAGATTTACTGTTATTAATACGACTATTATTACTAGTATTACTATTGGTATTGTTATCATTATTGTTATTATTGACATGAGGTGGCGGATGGCTGTCGGGACGTCGCGCACAGGTTCTCTGTTGCAATTTCGGCCCCTCGATATCTGGAGGACTTGATATGTTGCGCATTCCGATGATCTACATTGTAAGGGCTTCCAACAAACAGGGGTCCCTTTTGGGGACTCCCTAGTATAAGGATTACAGTACATTGGTTTCCATGTTGGGGTGCCCCGATTTGGTAGTTTCCTGGAATAAAGGGACCCCAATATAGACGCCAAAAAGACTAATCCTTCTTAAAGGGATCGCCAACAAGGTACCCATAATCTTGGGAAACCCCCAATCCCTATAAATCCCTTACATAAACGCAGTTTCCGTTTCAATTTCAATTTTCTTTTCCGTTTGATTCTCCATTATCAGGCTAGTATCACTATATCCCCTAATGCTGGAAAACTCCAAACCCTCTAGAACCCGTTTTTCGCCCCTTTGAAGGTACCCCTAATTTTGGCAAACCCCGATTTATCGAGACCGCGGCCAACTCGGACTCACTGGCTGTAAGCCTCCAGTGGGCCTGATCTTCGGGACTGATCCCGCACTCCTGGTCAAGCAGGGTTTAGGATTTAGGGTTTAGGATTTGGGGTTTGGGATTGAGGGTAGCTTTGGGTTTGGGCTTAGGATTTAGGGTTTCAGGATTTGGGGTTTAGGATTGAGGGTAGCTATGGGTTTGGGTTTAGGATTTAGGGCTTAGGAAAAATGATGAGTGAAGGAGAATCAAATGGAAAAGTACATGGAAAACGAATGGAAGCTACTGTTCAGGGTTTGGGCTTTAGGGTGTTAGGGTAGCTTCATTGTTTCAATCGGTTTTCATGCTTGAGCACTAGGCTACTAAGCTCCACATGTGGCAAGGACACGGCAACGGCTCATGTTGGCACTCTAGCATACGATCCTGCACTGTTACCGGTAACTTTGAACTTTCCAAACAACCCGAATGCTGGACAAAGTGGCCTGCAGGGAGATTCGGAGGCGATCTGGATCGTGAACAGAGCCTTTGAAGTCCGCACGCTCCTGGGGTGAAGCACACCCTCGGCATGCCCTAGAAAAGCCAATGGCGACCAGTGTATCTGCATATGCCGACAGTGTGGTGCCCCACTGTTCTGAGGGGACGTTAGTTTCAAGGGCGGCATGGCTACTTGTACCATCCCGTACCGCTGCTCTCAGCATCTAAGCCTTGGGGTTACAAGGACATGCAAAGGTGTGGAGCCATGTCCTGGATCTGCTGCCTGCGAATCTCAAATAGCTTCCCAGTGCCACCTGCGCGCCGCTGCATCGGAGTGAGTTCATGTCATGCTCCTTCCATGCATTTCCTTCACCTTTTCACAACGGCCTAGCTAGCTCATTCCGGCACTGGACTTTGACTTCCGTGGACGCAGCTGCAGATCTTCCGAGCAAGAAACATCCGGAAACCCATGCAAAGCCCCTAAACCCTGACAGGTTATGGGCCGGCCTAGCTTGCCAACATAGCGCAGGAACTCGTCAAACTGGATGGTTCCATCTCGGTTCGTGTCCTCAGGGTGATGGGAACACATGTTCCTGCAAGCATTATCCATGCACCGCCACATTGACAAATCCTGGCTGTTAAGCCTCCATCATGGTCTTTTCTGCGCTTGTCTCCATTTTCTTTTCCACCATCCCTATATATATACATATATGCCTATAAGTCCCATTATTGGGATAATTAAAGACCCTCAAGCACAGCAAGCCCACCCTAGCTGTGGCAACTGCCTTAGTTGGTGAGGCCCCCGCCTCCTTTTCCTTCCTAACTTGTATTATCTATCTCCATGTATTCCGTGGGGATAGAATGGGGATAATGGGAAACGATAATGGAAACTACTATTTGTAGGGTTTAGGCTTCTTAAGGTTTCCCAAAATAATGGGTACCTTCATGGGGGCTCCCTCTGACAAGGATTATAGCATTTTTGAAGTCTCTGTTGGGGTCCTCCTAGTTAAGGAAATTACCATACACCTTGTGGGCATCATACTTCACTGACTTGCGCAAGGAGGGACCCTTACATAGCCTTACATCCACAAGCCAGACAACTCACAGCAACGCCCAGTCCACAATGGTCATGAGCTTGTCGACATCATCTGGTGTGTCGGGAAAACCCAAGTAGTCCAGCATGAAATGCACCTTCAGATCTGCAAACGCACGCATGGCTACGGGGAGTCCCAAAAGAACATCTACTTTCTTGCACGAAAGCCATGTTTTCCACAGCAGAACGAAACAAGGTGAGCCCTTGCTTTGTTGGACAAACCTTTGGGGAGACAGCCATACTCACTAGGCCCTAGATTTGTCTGTTGTATACACTGGATTATTACAACGCAGTTGGCAACAGGAAGCAGGCCCAACATGCAAGTGCACACTGCGGCCTCATTCTTGGCAAGAATGCCATCTCCGCTCTGGTCAAACCTGGCAAAGTCTACCCCACTGAGATCACTCTCAGCTGCAGTGCCCTTAAGCCTGAAGACAAACCTGTAGAAATTGGCTGGCCAACTTGTGACACATCACGTGCAGGTGCACTTTGGTGGGCGTGCTGCTGAGCAACTTCTGGAAGGCTGCAGCAATGTTTTTCTCCTCTAGGTCGAGCTTCATGTGCAGGATGTCTAAGCCGTTTTGGGCCTGCAGTCGCGCGTCTGAGGCTGCTGAGATCAAGGCATCTACTGACTACTGGCATTGATGGGCCTCGTCCGTGTTGCCATCCGCGATAGCCTTGCGCAACTCGTCAACGAAATAGGCCAACTCATGATCCTGTGGACTGAGGCGCTTCGCTGTCACGCGCATGCTTGGGAGCCCCAACGGAAACTCGCATGGAGACAGGGCGTTTTGACTATGAAGACCTGCGTGTGGTCACTTCGTGTAGAACCGCTTAAAACCGTTTGTTGACCGGAAACACAGCTAAGCTGTAGGTGCCTTTTTTGCAGCCGGGCTGGGCATGTCGCTGTAGGTGCCTAAAGCCTGAAAGAAAGGTGGCATCCCTTCTTTTGAGAGGGTAATGCACCCCCAGACAACGGGACGATTAAAGGGGCCCCCAATTAACTTTGGGAAAAGTTGTCAGCGCACTTCGATTCAGCCTCAAACCCTCACCCCTAAACCCTGGGGTAGCTCAATCTCAACTTGAAGTAAATTTCATAGATTGAGGCCTGGCCTGGCTTTGACCAGACTATTCCGCAGCCTTGTGAAAGGCCAATATTCCATTCGGCTGGGCCAGAATTTTTGAAAAAGATGTGCAATACGAAATCCATGGTTTATGGAAGGGATGAAATCTGGAAGGGAATTGGTTTCTGGGCCTGGGTAAAGGGCTCCAATTTTGTATGTCTGAAGTTTCCAGCCATTATTCCGTTTACGCCTTGCTACTATTCCGTATCAAGCAAAAATTGCTCTATTCCGTACCCTTTTTCATTCCACTGGGCACTTCATTTTTTTGACGAACCAACATTAGAGCACGCGACAGTGGGCGGCACTTGTCCTTCGACTTCAGATATGGCTTTGCGTTGAAAAGTTCGTCCAACTGTTCCTTCACATGGCACAAGGAGGCGCTGCAGAGCTCTCTCTAATAGTAAAAGTATTAGCAATAACAATAACGGTACTGATTTGAAGAATAGTAATTAGAGTAGTCAAGAGTAGTAGTAGTAGTAGTAGTAGTAGTAGTAGCAGCAGTACTAGTACTAGTACTAGTACTAGTACTAGTACTAGTAGAGTAGTAGGAGGCTCAGTCATGTATGTCTGTCACACCGCAGCCGCATCCTTGTGGATGGCACACTGTGGCGACACATTCACAATGGCGAACTCGTGCTGGCTTTTGAAGTGGACTTCGCTGCCGGCCTGTCACAGGGCAGCAAGATATCTCTGCGCAGCCCGGGGCTCAGCTATCCTTGAAGTTTCTCTCGTTTTCACGCATGATCCACACACCCTTTCTCCCAGAAAGAACATCACAAGCTACAGCTGCAAGCATGGCGCCTCTGCTGTGCCTTCATTACAGATGCACAGGGAAAGTATTTGCCGAAGCTTCTCCATGATCTCTGAGCAGCTTTGGCTGGTCCAAATGCTGCCCTCAAGTCTAATCAAGCGAAGGAAGCCAGAAAGTGATTGACGTGGATGCTGCGTGGCTGCTGTGCTATCACTGTATGCTAGGCATTTACTGGCGTTTTTCCTTGAGCCAGGTGTCCAAGCCATGTTCTGGAGTGTGGCCAGCGATGCCATACCAGCATAACCAGACACCAAAACCAGATTCAAACACTGGCCGCTCGAGTCGAGCTGGGCAGCTTGGCGCGTCTCACTGGTCTCTTTCAAGCCTTTTCTCGCATGAAGGACGACAATTTTGTAGGACTAAGACGGGAGCCCATGTCATCATAAGCAAGATTGCTCAGTCTGAGTTAGGAACTGTATATGCTGCACACGCAGTGGCTCCCGCAAGGAGCCGCGTTGACTCTCCGCATGCCGCACTTCAGGTTTCCTATTCTTTGCTTCGCATAATGTTGGTCGTTAATTGTACTACTCAACCTGCCTCTGTCAAAAGCATGCAGCAGGTATCATTCATCCGTTACTGGGACAGGTACATTCAAGTAAGACATTTACTAGACATAGAAACCATTGCAGATCACACTCCGCTGGCAGCTCCTCTCCACATCCTTCTGCAGCTGACCATCATGACCTGACACATCTGAAAAACTGATAAAGCTAACCGCCTCACGAGCGCTTGACATGATGCTTCGAAATTTGGGGGCGCCTCTCCTATCACCAGAATTCATGGGGATGCATAGAATAAGGGCCAACTCACAGACAGGGCACGACCATCTGGATCGAGACAAGCCCTCATGGTCTCGAACTTTGGGGCCCAGCCAAATTCCCGATCATGTGCCCTAGATTCCTACATCCGCAGACACTCCCTCAGCATGAAAGCAAAGCTTAATTCATCACCCACTCGCCTCGCGCTGACTCCCTGGCCAGGCATGGCTGCACGGTGGTGGCAATGAGGCAAACTGAAAAAAACTGACTCAACCTTGCTCCGCACCTTTCGACACAAGTACGCGTAGTGCACGCTGCCGCCTGACAGCCGCTGAAAGCAACGCATGGTCGTTTAAGTGCAAAGCTTTCCATCCTAACCACGCCCCATGGTCCCAATAACAATCCGTATACTTGCAACTGCCCGGAATATTCTCCCGAATGAATACGACGACACTAATTCGTGTCCTCACAATCCTTATTCATGAGCTACAGGTATCTAGTCAACATATAAAATCTCAGTGGCACATGGCCGGAAATCCAGATTGCCAGTGGCGAAGACCAATGGTAGGAAGCCGCGTGTGGACAAACAACAGTTGTTATCACCCTGCTGGGCGATGCATCGCAATTCGTGTCCTCGCAATCCACATAACAATGTCCTGCCTGGAAGCTTGACAGGAATAGGAACCTGAAGACGCAAGTGCATGCGTTGGGCTCACGGAAGCCATTACTCTGTGCGAGTCTCTTTGCCATGTGCATACATCCCGGCCTGCTTTATTGCCAAGTTCAAGCCCTTACCCTTGAAGTAGTCCAGCCTGACCATCAAGCCAAGTTGGAACTGTTCTCGCTGAATATGCTAACCCCAATATAACCCCCATATAACTCCAATATAACTCCCATATAACCCCCATACAACCCCAATATAACCCCCATATAACCCCAATATAACCCCCAATATAACCCTGATATAACCCCCAATACAACCTCAATAAAACCCCCATATATTGGGGTTCTATTGGGGTTACATTGGGGTTATATTGTTTTTTGGATTGCGGTTATATTGGGGTTATATTGGGGTTATATTGGGATTATATTGGGGTTATATTGGGATTATATTGGGATTATGGTGGGGTTATATTGAGGTTACATTGAGGTTATATTGGGGTTATATTGGGATTATGTGGGTTACATTGGGGTTATTTGAGGACTCGTGAGCCAGCTGCAGATACATAAATATATCCACATACACTACGCGGAACAGCCTCTAAATGAGATCACCACTCTAAAGAAAATTCACCCCCTGTGCTGGAATGCCTGGTGTTCGGGACGCCATAGCTGACGCAAAGGAACCTGCGCAGGGGCAAGTGGTCATCGCCATTGACTCAGGGATAGTGCTGTCCTTGTGGAGAGTGCAGGATCCTTCAAGTGAGCAAGTGAAAGATGTGCGACCTTTTTCCTCTCCGAGGGCCCCTGGTGTGTTCGCCCCTCCTTCGAAGGATCCGAACCCTCCCTGATAGGAGCATTGATCACTGTGCTGTCACTGCTGCCCTCAAAGCAGACCCGCGCAGCTTTCCATCTTCAGAAGTGCATCCCGTAAGCCGCTGCTAGGGAACTGCTCCGGCGAGGGGGCACCAGCAAGAATCCTGAGAAGTGCGCTCTCAATACATGCTGTGATCAAGATACTGCTGTCTACTGACGACGCACGCCCTGCTTGCTGCCAATTGGCACCAGAGCGCCAAGAATGAAGCCTTAGATTCGAACGCACGAGCGACTTGGAGTGCAGCAGGCGCAAGAGGCCGATGCGGCGCATGCCAATGATTGAATACTGCTTAAAATGGCTTCGGTCTGCCAAGCCACTGAGCATGGCCTTGATGTCCTGTCTCGCCTGGCAACCTGCATAGCGGCCGAGGAAGTCCTGTGGACATCTGCTGGCATCAGCCGATGTTACCTGGGAGCCAAGCGGATGAGGCGGGAAGGAAGCAACGGCTGCCGAATTGCTGAGCTCAATCCAAGCGACTATGCCGAGCGTATGCAGGCAGCAAAGCACGAGGCCTGCTAGCATCATTGAGAAGAGGCCTCAGAGAAATCATCTGGGCAGGTTTCGAATGGTTGCAATGAGTTCCGCTACACATCTGAAAGTATTGCCGTCCTCAACACAGGGACTGGGCCGAAAAGAAGCCTGTAGTGTTAAGAGACCCAAAATTTGACCACATCATGCGAGAAGTACTCTCAATGCAGCCCGCCGGCAAAGCAAGATCGTGCTGTGTACCTCGCACCAAAAGCGCAGAAAGCCCACGACGTGTGACAGGTGATATGTTGGTGAAGGTAGCAATACTGCCAAAGCTAGGGAAAACAGTCGCATCTTCATGCAAAAGCTCATGCGGAGCTCCAAGCTTCTAAAGGGGCTCAGACTCTGCATTGCTACATATTTGTTTGCAAAAGTCTCGTGTGCGACACGGATGGAATTCTCTTTCTGGTGTGTATGCCGCAGCGGAAGCCTGATTTCGTTAAGTGCCAACACGGCTTCTGAGGCACCATCACAATAATGATCAGACTGCAAGCAGCATCACAGTAATATGGAAAAAAGCCAAATGATAGTTTCCACGCATAGGAAGGGCTAACCCCCATACATCCCAACTCCCAACACACGTAAACCTTCATAAGGGGACACACCCAACCCACCCCCCAAAAAATAGACGATCTTTTTTTTTTTTTTTTTTTT